CAGTTGTTAAACTGCTGGCAAAGGGTCTGCTAAAACGTCTTCACACGAGCCGGGAAGAAAAGACTGAAATAAGGCGATGTTCTCTCATAGCCTTTGTTCAACTTATTTTGCAGCCTTATTGAGTCTTTAGTGAGGGGCTTGTAAACTCCTGCTGTGCAGACGCTCTTTCTTTTCTATCCCACAGAGGGACTTTTTCTCTCTGAACGAACCACTGGAAAGAAGGACCGTGTTTGCTGCTAATTGGAGCAAACGCTGGAAATGCAACCTTAACACCTCCTCTCTTGAAGGTCTTTTTCGTTTTCTGTTGTGTCCTGGAAGATATGCAGACAGAAATGAAGGTGGAGACGCCAAGATAAAGAGGAACGCAGTGTCAAGAGTCCCAACAGGAGAATAAAAACAGAGGATGGCCTTGCACATGCAGCACGGTGTTTTACGTCAAGCACGCAAGTTAGATATAAAATTTTTGTGTGTGTGTGAATTCACCCCGCTACAATACTGACATGGGCTGACAGATGAAAAATAAAAAAAAGAGGAAGTGAGTTGGAAGTTTATCTTTTACTGCATGTGGAGGAGAGAGGTTTTGTCATTCAGAAGAAAGCTGGATGGATGGAGTAGCATTTTAAACAGTGACACACTCCATGTGTGACGAAGTAAAAAATCAACCCGCATGGTTCTTAGAAACCCTTTTTTAGTTTCTCCCTGAATCACCTCTTCAAAATAGCTGTTTGCTCCAAGCCTCGGGTGTTTGGCAGCAGGTTTGTCAACACAGGTTCACGAGGTTTACACCTCACATTAAAAACGTATAACTTAACTTAACTACGTTGTCACAAAGACTTCAGCCGCACCTGCAGTTTCACCTGCAGAGCTCAAGTGTCTCCAGGGAGCATTTTGACATCCTGTAAACACATGGAAACCCTGCAGGCATGAGAGAGGCAACAAAGGGACACATGTAAAATATTTATTGCTAATTTAAATATTTGCAACTAGATCTGAAAATCTCGGAACAGAGCCAACATAGTATTTATGGAGTTTGGATGCGCGGCTCGGATCGGGTAAGCAGCAGATTCAGACAGTCAGATTGTGCAGATGGGGTAAATGTGAAACAAATGTGCTCTCTTTGGGTTTGTGAGCATCTCGTGACAAAAGGAGCAACAGGAAAGCAGAGGTAATCTGTGTTTTTTCCCGTCAGGATCCCTTTGATTTCCTTCAAAGAAGAGCAAACTGAGTGATTTGTGAGCTTAAAAAAAAAACACAAAAAAGAAACGAAGCTGTCTTTACAGGCCTCTGAGTCCTGTGCTATCTCTGACCCGCCCGCTTTCACCGTATTTATCTGACACAATTTCTTCTGAGCCACAACAACCTCCCAGCAGCTGAGAAAGGTCTGGGTAAAATAGCTAAAAAAAAAAAAACAACAACAAAAAAACCCACATCTCTGAACTTCAACATAACTTGGAGGCTGGGTGTGTACCGCAGGATTTCTGCCTAGCCGGTTATCATTGCTGGCCTTTCCCTGAGCAGAGATCGAACCTGGAATCACCAACTAAGGAACGGGCGTTTCTCTTCTGTCTAATTGCTGGGTTGGACCCTCTGCTCGGCCCATAAGCATTACCTTCTCCACAGACACATGCAAACATGCTGCAGTCATTTACAGTAGATGCAGAGAACAGCTAAACGTTGCGTCCCCTGACTCCTCCAGAGCAGCTTGGACCTCTGAGTTCGCATGACTGCTGGTGACTCGGATCAATCTGTGTGAGCTGCTCATTCGACCTCTGATGTATGTCAGTAGAAAACAGGCCCACAGTGACCCCATGACCTGACCGGTCAGAAATGTTTTGCCAACAGAATTGACTCACGCGCTATTAGGCAAGAACACAACACAAATAGCAATTTAGCCAATTAGATTACAGCATTTGGGCATCTAGATTAGGCGAAACTCGCTGAAATTCAAACCGGGCAAAACCGCCCTGTTGATGCCAGATGCCGGAGCAGAAAGGATGCCGTCTCTGAACCAAGAACATGTCGAACCTTGAAGCAGATGCGCTACAGCGGCTGTAGAGCCACTGCTGCCAGACAGCCAGAAACTGATGCAGCTCACAAAGGTTCACGAAGATTACCACCTGGTGTGGAAAACCTCATTTTCAGCTGCATCTTTTGGATGGTAGAGTCGGTATTTGGCATAAAACAACAGGGTAGGATGAATCTATACTGATTTGAACTCAAAGCCTACCTGAGAGTTGTTGCTAACTTTATGAATACAGTTTATCTCCCGATGGAAACTTCTGGCAGGATAATGCACCATGTCCCCAAAGCTCAGATAGCGTCAACATGGGTTTTGAATGCCTAAAGTGAAAGAGGCATGGGTTAAAAGCTTTGTGCAGCATTCAAGACATGAGGGTGATATTTAGTTTGTAATTGATAGGGTTTGTCACATGTCTGTGTTTCTGCACAACACATTTGACACATTTCACTTTACTGTCACAGCTAAGAAACATGGCATCTTTCTGTGCAATATCATGAAAATGCTTCATCTACTTTATATTCCCCATCAGTCTCTGCTTTTCGCTTTCAGGGTGATGTAATGACATAACAGTCAATTTTAAACTCTAAATCTCGTAACTCACACTCGCGTCTTGTTCTGAAGCTGGCTCTGTGAACTGACGGGGCAAAACGCTTGAAGCGCAGGCACCAAGCGTGCATGGTGTCTGTATCCACATCTTGTTTTTATTTCCCGTGACCTGATATGAGGAGAGAATGTCCTTCTTGAGAGGTATGAAGGTTTCTTCTGGAAATCCTTTCAGTCTTGGTCAGCCAATAAGAAAGTGGGACTGTGTTCCACACCCACCCGGCTCTCATGTATGTGAGAGATCCTGAATGTATGGACGGATTAGTGGGCCCCAGTCTGAAAGCACACCACCGACAATGCCCCATCCTCTTTACAAAGGGAAAAGACAGACAGTTTTTTTTTTCTTTTAATCTTATTTTGTTGCTCTCTGCTTCGTCTTCCCTGTAATTTCTGCATTTAGTAAAGGTCATAAGTTGTGCGTTTCAGGTGACACAGTCCTCTCAACATGAAAACGTGATGTTAAACCTTTGCCTCTTTTCATTGTACACAGGAAACATCTGTCTTCCTTCTATAGTGGGTAACAATGCAACTGTGGCGGTGTATGCCATAGAACATGAGGCTCAGGCTAACAGAGCAGCTGCTTGGGCCCCCTCACACTTACAGTGAGGCCCCACAGAGCAGTGGAGCTTTGCCAGTTGGACCGTGAATATTTCCCTCAGTCTGAGAAGACTGCTTCTAGTGTCCACATTTATAGATTTACAGGGGTGTCAAACTCCTGCACTCAAGGGCCGGTGTCCTGCAGTTTTTAGATGTGCCACAGGTACAAAACACCGGAATCAAATGGCTTAATTGCCTCCTTCTTGTTTAGATAAGAACTCCAGAGCCTTGCTAATGACCTGAATATTCTATTCAGGTGTGGTGCAGCAGAGAAACATCTAAAAGTTGGAGGACTGCAGTTTGACATGTGGTCTAGCAGATGATTAACAATAAAAGTTTTCTGATGGATTCATATTGCATGTCTCCTCATCATGGCTCACAGCTCAAAGCTGATCTGACCAAGCGGGGCTCCCAAAACTCCCAATTCACTTCTGTTACGCGAAGGAGCCGAAGGAAGTGGAGAAGCTTTCTGCCAGAAAATGTCCATCACTTGTTCTGCTTGGGTTTGGGGACCTCAGAGCTACTGCGGAGGAATGAGTTTTAAAATGTAGATGACCAGTACAGCATGAAGGAAATATGTGTTGCTGATGAGGCTGGTGGGTGATGGGTTGGGTCCAAGGCTGGTGGTGAACATGGGTCAGAAGAAGATGAATTACTACAGCTGTTCAGTGTTTGGATTTTTCAGCCAAACAGAAAATTTAAATAGTTCTGAATAAATCAAGAAAACTTGCCCTATTCCATGATCTCCCAATAATAAATTCTTAATATCATTCAAGATTTTGCTTTAGAGCTCATTGCACATTTTTGCAGTGCCTTTTGAAAACTATTGACACTTTTCCACATGTTGACATGTTGCAACAAAAAACTTTACAACATTTTATTTGGGTTTTTGTGTGACATACCTATAAGTAGTGTCCAGTACGGAGATGATCATACTGTATGTGTTTTTTAAAACCAAATAAAAATCTGTGCTACATGTGCTGCGATTATAGCTGCAGGTCTCTTGGGTGCATCTCTTCCAGTATTGTCACTTTTGTAAGAATTAGATATTTATAAAATTAAAGAATTGAGAGTAAATTCATCCATTGTCTAAACCAACTACATGTCTGCGCAAGGCTTGAGTTGGGCTTCACTCTGGACAGGTCACAAGTCCATCACATGACAGTCAAATATACACTAAGCAAACAACCAAACCACACACACTCATATCAAGGACAAATTCAAGAGGTCATTTAACCCAACAACAGTCAGGTTTTTGGACTGCAGGAGGAAACTGGAGTACCTGGGGAAAACCAACCTGCTGCAGAAAATGTCTTGGCCAGGATCCCATCCTGTTTTGCCGCAATGCAGCAGCGCTAACAACCTTGCTGTCCTAAAAATAAAATGTTTCCTACAAACACAATGAATCAGGTTTTCTTTCACTAACTTGTTCAAAGAGCGCTTTTTAAATTAGTTAGAAACCTTTTAATATCCTAATGCATGACAAAAATACCTATTACCACATCATTTTGGCAGCAGATCAAAGGAAAGTGTCGTGTAATCACTAAAACCAGACACACGGACAGTTGGGAACTGACACTAATGTTGCTCCGTAAATGAAACCTTCTGCTTGGCTGCCAGGGGCCCCGCTTTCCTCACAGCAGGATGACCAACCTCCTTAGTTTTTTTTTTTTTTTTAGAGCTGGGACAGCGTTTAGTCTCCGCCCCCCAAAACTTTCCAGCCAATCACGCTTGAGTATTCAAATAAGCCACCCATTAAGATGACCTGCAGCGGCAAATGTTACAGACCATAAGCAACTTCACCCTTAAACCGCAAACAGCTCACCACTTTGTCACCGGTGCTTTGGGTTTAAGTGGATCCACAACTATTCGACCAACCAAAAAAAACTAAAACCCCCAAAAACAAACAAACAATAAAACCAAAACCAACAAAAAAACTTTAAAATCAAGAAATACAAATCAAGAGGAAAAACTCAGTAACAATATGGGAAAAGAAATGATTTGCTTCGTGACTATTTGGATAACTTTGGGAAGCATCCACGCAGCCTTTTCTTCAGATGTCGAACCCACCGCCAACTCAACTGCTTTTGGTAAGACTCACATTTATTCTGATGAGACTTTTAAACAGAACAAAACGAGAAGCAGGTGAAGGTGATAAATATGTGGATAGCAGGTTTATTGCTGCACGCGGCTCCACTTTTGACCGATATTAACCCGTCTTTAAAAAGAGCGCAGGTCTGCATTCAGCTCCATGTGTGCGTGACGAAAAGCAGCAGGCAGGAGCTTTTTTTGTTGTTGGTCTGAGGATAGATAAGATGAGGGAGGAAACGTTGGTTGAAGTTGATACAGAAAATAATTTCTTCACACAATAATGTTTATCCATCTTTGAATTTAATAAAACACAACTGTTTTACTCGAGCACAGTTTGCGCGTTGAATTTGAATTAGACCGACTCTTTTTAACACTCGCTCCGACCCATTAAGAATGATTCCTTTAGAGGAAAACTGAAAAACCCGCATTCAGTTATTTGGTTTAATTAATAATGTAGAAATGCTTTCGTGTTATCAAGAAATTGAGTTTTCCCGGTAAAGATTCAGAAAGGACAAAAGGGGGCGACACTGTCACGCCTTATTTAGTCACTTAAAAAAAATACGTTGTTCACAATTAATGACATTCAGCCAACTAGCATTTAAAAGGCTTCTCTGTGAACAAATCCTAAACTGCGCTCTCCGTTTGTTTTGCAACAGCAAACAGCACAGTCACCGATGCGCCTGTGCCAACCACCACTGAATGGATGACGGATTTCACTGACATCGTGTCCAAGTTCTCCCTGCGCACCGCCGAGCTCCCGGATGATGATATGTGCTACATGGTGGCCGGCAGACCAGAAACCATCACCGAGTGCGCATTCAACCCAGAAACCCAGACCTTCATTGTGATACATGGCTGGACGGTTAGTAACACTGAAACTAACTTTTTTTTTTTTTTGTGCGCAAAGCTTCTGCGCAGATATGTTTAGGCAGTGCAACATAAAAATGCATCACAGATACTGAGAAAAAAAAAAAAAAAGAAGTCCTGCAACATATGATGGCAAAAAGCACAAGCTGTGGAGGGGAAACGGCACACAGTCCATCTTCTGCTGTAATTTGATTTAAAACCAGTCATGCTGCACAATTTGAACCTGATGATACCTTGGCCAGTCTCCAACAGAACACAGAGGCACTGCTGGATAAACCACGCCATATGGCAGCTGACCTCAGACACTGACCTGACCATGTGTGCATTGTCAGTCACATGTTTTCTGCAGCACAAGCTACACTACAATGGAAGTAAAACAAAATGGGAGAATGAAAACATGATCTCACTCAAATAAGAAATATTGATAATAAATGCAAGAGAAGTTGAGTCTTCTCCAGCTCTGCTTTGTCCTTTAACCTGCTGCTGTTCACCACCTGTCAGACGGCGATAATAATTGTTTTACGCCTTTGCTTACAAAAAAGACAAATTTGGAATATTTCAGAAATAGTTAAAATCTCAGAAAACGTGGACAGTTTATGATGTGGAAAATGAAAAAGTCCCACACTGCTGTGATCAGCATGTCTGGTCACCAGCTGACTTCAGTTTGGCTATCAGAGCAGATAGGCTGACTAATTAACCAGCTCACATCATGTGTTGGGCATTTAAAATGCAGACTGGCAAACCAAAAGGGATAAAACACTGTCCAATAACCTCTTAGAAAGTAGTGCACATTCAATATTTATGATGCACAATACAAAAACTGTGATAGCAATACTCAAACTACTACATGCAATATAATCTTAACAGCAGTTTGAGTGATTTTGCTTCCCTTTTCTACACCATGTTGAAGCTCAGGATTATTACTCATATTTAGCATAGTGAAGGTTCTCATACCAGTCGATTCCTTGACAGTGCAAACACGATGAGAAACTGGTGTTACTTGGTTACATTAATACAATCTTATGTTTCACAGTTCTTTGAAACATAAGGCATCAACAGCACAAAATGTGACTATCGGCATTTACCTGTAAACTCTGTAAAAATGCGCTTTTTGTTCAAACATCATGGGCCACAGTTTCACCTGCTGCTTTTATGTTTTGCCCTGCAGGTAACAGGGATGTTTGAGAGCTGGGTCCCCAAGCTGGTGTCCGCCCTGTATGAGCGCGTGCCAACTGCAAACGTGATCGTGGTGGATTGGCTGACCCGCGCCAACCAGCACTACCCCACCTCCGCAGCCTACACCAAGCTGGTTGGCCGAGACGTGGCCAAGTTCGTTACCTGGCTGCAGGTGAGCCGTTGGATCGCCCTCCCTCTGCATTAGCTTTTTGAGTTCTGTAAATATAACATGTGACAATTGTTGAGTTCACATTATTGGCTAAAATCTGCTCCGTAATGCTCCGTTCCCAATGGGGCCATGTGGTTGTGTTTGTCTACGCTATGAGATTTTAAATGGCTATAAACACATTTTATAGTCATGTCTGCGGCTATCGCTGCGAGGCTTAGTGTTAGCGAGGGCACGGCTTTTGCAACAGCCCAAAGCTTTCCCTTTGCTTACGCAACTTCAAACTTTAAAAGCAGTCTAGAATTTGGCATAGAATGAAATTGCACCGAATCCTTTCTCTGGATTGTTTCCCACATTCATTCCTGGGGCAGAATGCTTCAGAGCCTTGCCAAGTACAGCTTGCATTTCTGCAGGCTTCCCTGTCGATTGTATTAAGGCGTTCCATGCACACGCCTGACTTGTTTTGTTGCTTTGCAGAAAGAGCTGCAGTTGCCCTGGGAGAGGATTCATCTTTTGGGATACAGTCTGGGAGCACATGTGGCCGGCATTGCTGGAGACCTCACTGACCATAAGATCAGCAGGATCACAGGTGACTCCTGTTAAATGACTACCAGGATTCCTGTACAGTTTGAAAAAGTTAGCAGTTTGGTTTAAAGGTTTTGCAGTTTTGGTTCAGTATCAATCCATCCGTTAATGACATAACTTCATATAAAGTATTAGATCTATGGTATTTATATGCTAAAAATGGTTAAAGGCGGCCGAGGACTTTGAAAAATTGACTCAATTTTGACATATAGGAACGTTGGGTTATAATCTAAATTCAAAAAAAGACCTCGATAAAGTTGTAAAAATGTTAACTACATGTTTTTAATATGCTGTTTGGTTATTTTAGTATTAAATTGAGTTCTTAAGGTTATTGGTGCGTACCTTCATGTATGTACGTCCGAGTCTGTCAGCCTCTACATTCCAGGCCTCCATTGTGTGTGTGTGTGTGTGTGTGTGTGTGTGTGTGTGTGTGCATGCAGCCAATTTGTTTCAGATTTAGAGCTCCAAGTTGCTCCTATGAAGTTGGTCCAGCTTTAAAATCTCTCTGACCTCCTTCAAATAATGGTGTGTTTACTAGATCTGAGAGCAGTGGGCCATTAAGCACCATCAAACTTTTTTTTTTTTTCCTGCACAAATCAGAAGGAGGTCAGACTGAGAACAGACTTTCAAGCCTTTAATGCTTTGAAACACAACGGTTCCAAATGGTAGCATTTTATCTCCAGTCACGTTTATCTCCACAGCTGATCGATTGTTTTGTTCTCGTGCCCAGGTCTGGATCCCGCCGGTCCCACCTTTGAGCACGCAGACGAGCAGAGCACTCTGTCCCGAGGCGATGCCCAGTTTGTGGACGTCCTGCACACCAACACCAGAGGCTCTCCAGACCGCAGCATTGGCATCCAGAGGCCAGTGGGCCACATTGACATTTACCCTAACGGAGGAACCTTCCAGCCGGGTTGTGACATCCAGAATACCTTGCTGGGGATTGCATCAGAAGGGATCAAGGGCCTCCAAAGTATGTAACTCAAAATCTCCCAGGCTTCTAGAGATAATGAATTAGCTTTGTTTTTTAATTATACTAGTCTTAGGAATAATATATTGTTAGCAGATTTCAGTCAGAAGACAGGGAGGTGCTTGCTAAAACAAATGGTTGCAAGTTAAAGTGTCTTTGCCTCCAATCATAACATTCCAAGCTAAAAACATGAAGTGAGCAAAAATATCTGGTGTATTTCCTCAATATTTTGTTGCTTCATGCTTTTAGAAACCAGAACATAGCGTTGGATGCCTTCTGGTCCTCGTTTGTGACTGTCTTATGAATGAAAAAAGGAGAACAAACACCAGGAAGTAATTTTCTGCCTTTGCCAGCGTTTATCTGCAAAAACCGAAGAGTCTTCTTGCATTCTTGTTTGCAGATATGGATCAGCTTATCAAATGCTCCCATGAGCGCTCCATCCACTTGTTCATCGACTCGCTGCTGAACACCCAGCAGCAGAGCATGGCCTACCGCTGCAACTCCAAGGACACCTTCAACAAGGGAATGTGCCTGAGCTGCAGGAAGAACCGATGCAACAAGCTTGGCTACAACATCAACAAGGTCCGGACGGCCCGCAGTGCCAGGATGTACCTCAAGACTCGGGATATGATGCCTTACAAAGGTAAATCTCCACAGACAAGGTGTGAAACTACAGTAAACTCGACTTTTTCCACGGAGACGGAAATTTGTACTTGAATATTGACTGCAAGAACAGAAAGGAAATCTGTTTAACATCTAAGAAAAGTAGAAAAGTCTTCCTGGATTTACATGCTTTAGTCTGCATTATTGGGAGTTAAATCATGCACATGCCTTCATTAAAAGTAATCCTCAGATTATTTGCTACCGTGACTCGATGCGGTTAGAGTAAATGCGTCTCCTTGGACCCGACAGTGATTGTGGAAACTTGAGACAGCTTCACAAGGACAGCAAGCTCCGTGCATTCATGAGGTCATGGGTATTTTAGTTGCTAAAGTATGCTAAAGTAAAGTGATACCTGTGCATTACTTTGGCAGTGGAAAAGTTCTTTTTCGTTGTTTTTTTTAGAAATCACAAATCAGCAAATGTGTAAACATTTACTTGATAAATAGCAAGCTGTTTCAAGAGCTTCTAAGGGTCTCCACATGCATGCTTGAAGCCAAACAAGAATATACTAATCGGTGTCTAAAGCTCTAGTCAAGGGTGAAGTAGAGCGTAAGTAGAAATGTATCATTTCACTGAGAGTGAATCTTCTTTCCATCCTGCAGTTTTCCATTACCAAGTGAAGGCACACTTCTTCAGCAAGGACAAACAGAGCTTCAGTGAGCAGCCAATCAAGATTTCACTGTACGGAACCCACGGAGAGAAGGAGGACATCCCGCTTGTCCTGTACGTACACGAAGCTGAGCGTGCAACAGAAAGACATGCAACTCAGCAACAGTGTTGTTCACCAGCATTTGTTGGTGGAAATGAGGGTCTGAGACCGATTTCAGGTTTTGTGAAAACATGGCAATTCTGATTTTAGATCATTTCTAAAAAAAAAAAAACTACAAATAGCTTTTTTTTTTTTTTTTTTTTTTTTTTTTTTTAAAAAAAAAAAAAAAAAAAACACAAAAAATCTAAAAAAAAAAATTTTTATAAAAAAAAA